ATCTGAAAGTTGAATAAATAAGCTTTCCATTGATGTATGGTTTGTTAGGATCGGACAATATTTGGCTGAGATACAACTATTTGAAAATCTGGAATCTGAGGGTGCAAAAAAATCGAAATATTGAGAAAATCATCTTTAAAGTTGTTCAAATGAAGTTCTTAGCAATGCATATTACTAATCAAAAATTAAGTTTTGATATATTTACGGTAGGAAATTTACAAAATATCTTCATGGAACATGATCTTTACTTAATAGCCTAATGATTTTTGGCATAAAAGAAAAATTGATCATTTTGACCCATACAATGTATTTTTGGCTATTGCTACAAATATACCTAAGCTACTTATGACTGCTTTTGTGCTCCAGGGTCACATTTATTCATTTAGCATACACATTTATCCAGAAGGGACTTGATGAATACAACAAGCGATTCATCTACATGTGTTGTAATCCGCATTTTATTGTACATGTGAACACCAATTATTCACAAATTTATGCACATCCCAATAAGATACCCGTATATTTAAACCAGGGCTGTCAAGCAATTTACATTTAAATTCTAATTAATTACATGATTAAGCTTTAAATTAAACACACATCAATTTTGGCTAAGAAATTACCCCCAAAAGATCATTTAAACTCATTGTTGTGTTGAATGAGAAAAGCATTCAACAGACATTACAAAAGCGTCAGAAAGAAATATTTTGATTCTACATTGCATAAATAATATTAAATGGATTTTAACTATGAGTACTGAAATATGAAATCAATATTTTAAAAAAGGAAAAGCGTTGAATAATTCATTCAACTGATTTGTTCAAACAGCTGATTCATTCAGAAATGAAGCAAGTGACTCTATGAATGAGTCACTGAATCATTGACTCACATGATTCAGTAACAAATCACCGCTGTGTGTTGATTGATTAGAGACGCTCAACAGTTCTGCTGTTGCTTTGATTGGAACCATTTTAGTTTGCAAAATTACGCAAAAATGGACAAGGTTGACTATTGTCTAAAATTTAACTTGTTTATTGAACTGCTGTATAAAATCAATATCTCAGTTGCATTCATGCAGATATTGAGGAAAAACAGCACTCTTGCTGGTGTGATATTGCTAAACTATATCATATGATATAAATATCAGAGGCTAATTTATCTTTCGCGCTCATATCTTGAATTTTAGGCTTATATAACTGCATTCTAATCACGCAATCAGTCGTTCTGCATCATCAGAAACTGCATCAGTGTAAGATGACAGACAGGTCTTGATGGGGCGCTGCGTTAAATGCGTTAATTATTACAACACGTTAAATTGACATCCCTACTTTAAAGCCATTCTGCATAAATCCCCTTATAATTGTTGCATTAATTTTATTGCCTGATTCAGCAAATCCACCTCAGTTCATCAGTGGATATGGTTGAGGTTCAGTTTTCCAGTGTCATGAAGTAGAGATGCTAACAGGCTAAACTATTATGATATAAATATCAGAGGCTAATTTATCTTTCGCGCTCATATCTTGAATTTTAGGCTTATATAACTGCATTCTAATCACGCAATCAGTCGTTCTGCATCGTCAGAAACTGCATCAGTGTAAGATGACAGACAGGTCTTGATGGGGCGCTGCGTTAAATGCGTTAATTATTACAACACGTTAAATTGACATCCCTACTTTAAAGCCATTCTGCATAAATCCCCTTATAATTGTTGCATTAATTTTATTGCCTGATTCAGCAAATCCACCTCAGTTCATCAGTGGATATGGTTGAGGTTCAGTTTTCCAGTGTCATGAAGTAGAGATGCTAACAGGCCAAACCACCGTGTGTTTCAGCCGGTCTGGGCCGAACCGGGACACTGATTGGCTGTTATATGATGAAACACTTCAGACTGACTGCAGCTGAAGCCATCGCATGGATCAGGATCTGCAGACCCGGTTCAATCATCGGACCTCAGCAGAACTTCATCGATGAGTGAGTCTTCCACACGCACTTTGATTCAAAGCAATGTATCTGTGTGCCAATCTGCGTTAGGGATGGGCGATATGGGCTTAAAAATATATCACGATGATTCCTGGTATTTATTGCGATAACTATATCAATGATGATAATTCAGGGAATCCTGTTTTTTTAGAGAAGAGTATTATCTTTCCTATTTTTACCCAAAATAGTGTTGTGAGCATTACTGAGTACACACACGTAATGTAATGACTGTTTAATTCATACTGGAAGCCGGAGGGCGCTCTTGCGCAGAAACTCCACACATGCATCGCAGAAGTAATAGCACTGACGCTCCAGGAAATCCCTAATATGGACAAAGGTATCAGTTATCGCTGAATAAAACGCACAATGGAGATAGAGAAATTTTAACTGATGAAACATGAAGACAATAAACATACGATTGCACAAAATATATGGTTTATCTGTGTTCTTCAAGCAATCTTGGGTATTTTTTTATAAGGAAAGTATATTTATATAGCCTTTATCACTGTATATAATACTATAATTCTGTAATATATAACCACGTCTGGTCACAAAAAGAAGTTAATTCAAACACTCGACTATGTTAAGTTAATTTGGAGAAAAAGCATGTCAATAAATGATATCTTTGCTGGACAACAGGTTTGTAAACTGGCTCATACACATGCAAAACTGTATTGCACACATGCTACTGTACTACATTTATTCAGACCGATTTTTTGTGCACTGTACAGTCCTGACCAAACCAGTTCCCGATCGTAAAAGGAGCTCAAGCTCCTCATTTAGCGATAAACTCCTCCTCAATTTCACGTCCGCCTTCCGCGATGTCGCACACAGAAATATGTCAACAACTAGACTTCATCGTTATTATCACAGGAAGACGAATTCTTATCGCGGTATATCGCAAATAAGATATCGCCCATCCATAATCTGCATGGGATTTTCTGATTTTTAGAAGCCCTAATACTAATTAATACATGCCTTAATGTAACAGAAAGCAGGCGAGTCTGTGGGCAGAAGGTGATTTGTACCGGCAAAAAATAAATGAGCAGGAAAACGGCTCGAGTAAAACGGCAGTGGCTGGAATCCTGTCTGGAGTGGAAGATATTTCCATTAATGGTACAAACAAGAACATCTCACAGAGGAAAACGGCCTCTGAAATGGTGAGTAAATCTATTTATTCTGGCACATCCCAGTTTAGGTGTCTGTTTTGCCTAACAGCATAATGTTTAGTGCACTTTGCTGAATTAGATGGCCAAGAACTGCCCACTTAGATGCAAAACAGATGTTTTTGTTTTTACGATTGTTAACCAGGTTGTGTTTTTTGGATAGTTGAATAGACGGTTCAATATATGTATAGTTGCATAGATAGTTGGTTGTTTGGTTAGTTAGCTACATAGATGGATAAATAGATGAGTGGTTGTCAGGGTGTTGCTCTGCAGTTGCTAGAGTGTTCTCATTGGTTTCTAGGTTGCTATGCAGTTGCTAGGGTGTTCTGGGGGGTTGCTAGCTGATTGAAAAATGATGCAGTATTTCAGGACATGCAGCAAACGGTGTAACGCAGGCATTATCAAAGTTCAGTCCTTCAATCCGCCGGTCTAATTTTCCAGCTAATTGCTCTTGAGCAGTGGCTTCATATGGCTCTTAAATTGTTCAAGGCCACAAATTCCTGTGAAATGGCTGAATTAATTGAGGTGATGGCGAGTGAATTACTCCCAGCTGTGGAGCTGATGCCGTTTGTTTTTGGTGGGCTGAAGGGTCAAAGACGAGAGACGCTCAGTCTGAGAGACTGTTTGAATAAGAGGCAGGAGCTATACGATACCCCAGACCCCCGTACAGCTCTCTCTCTCTCTCTCTTGCTCTCGTATGCAACAGTAGAACTGTGTCAACTACATTTATACTGTAGTATTAGGGTTGGGTGATATAGGCATAAAAATATGATATTTCTGGTATTTAGTGTGATAATGATATCAATAACGATAATTCGGGGAATCCTGTTTCTTTAGAGATAAGTATTGTCTTTCTTATTTTTACCCAAAATTGGGTGTTGTGAGCATTACTGAGTACACACACGTAATGTAATGACTGTTTAATTCATACTGGAAGCCGGAGGGCGCTCTTGCGCAGAAACTCCACACATGCATCGCAGAAGTAATAGCACTGACGCTCCAGGAAATCCCTAATATGGACAAAGGTATCAGTTATCGCTGAATAAAACGCACAATGGAGATAGAGAAATTTTAACTGATGAAACATGAAGACAATAAACATACGATTGCACAAAATATATGGTTTATCTGTGTTCTTCAAGCAATCTTGGGTATTTTTTTATAAGGAAAGTATATTTATATAGCCTTTATCACTGTATATAATACTATAATTCTGTAATATATAACCACGTCTGGTCACAAAAAGAAGTTAATTCAAACACTCGACTATGTTAAGTTAATTTGGAGAAAAAGCATGTCAATAAATGATATCTTTGCTGGACAACAGGTTTGTAAACTGGCTCATACACATGCAAAACTGTATTGCACACATGCTACTGTACTACATTTATTCAGACCGATTTTTTGTGCACTGTACAGTCCTGACCAAACCAGTTCCCGATCGTAAAAGGAGCTCAAGCTCCTCATTTAGCGATAAACTCCTCCTCAATTTCACGTCCGCCTTCCGCGATGTCGCACACAGAAATATGTCAACAACTAGACTTCATCGTTATTATCACAGGAAGACGAATTCTTATCGCGGTATATCGCAAATAAGATATCGCCCATCCATAATCTGCATGGGATTTTCTGATTTTTAGAAGCCCTAATACTAATTAATACATGCCTTAATGTAACAGAAAGCAGGCGAGTCTGTGGGCAGAAGGTGATTTGTACCGGCAAAAAATAAATGAGCAGGAAAACGGCTCGAGTAAAACGGCAGTGGCTGGAATCCTGTCTGGAGTGGAAGATATTTCCATTAATGGTACAAACAAGAACATCTCACAGAGGAAAACGGCCTCTGAAATGGTGAGTAAATCTATTTATTCTGGCACATCCCAGTTTAGGTGTCTGTTTTGCCTAACAGCATAATGTTTAGTGCACTTTGCTGAATTAGATGGCCAAGAACTGCCCACTTAGATGCAAAACAGATGTTTTTGTTTTTACGATTGTTAACCAGGTTGTGTTTTTTCATTGGTTAGCACACTGAGGAAGAGGAAGAGGAGTGCGGAGGACTCACACAAGGCGACAAACTAAGAGCTCTGAAGAGTAAGAGGCAGTCCAGAGCATCCACGGGTTCAATATCGTAAGTTTTTCTCCGTTACGTCACTCTTCTGTCCATCCTTATACATGTAGCCATCGAGGCTTGACGGTACAAGTCCACTAGTGTGGAAGAAATCTGCTCCTGACCCTTAATTACAGTCTGTGATGATTTCAATACACAGTTAATAAAGTCATGTTTTTATCATGATTTCAGAATTATATTTATTTTTGCAATGATTTCAGAAAAATGCTTACTAGCCTTTATTTCACATTCCCAAGCTTAAATGTGACCCTGGACCACAAAACCAGTCATAAGGGTCAATTTTTCGAAATTGAGATTTATACATCATCTGAAAGCTGAATGAATAAGCTTTCCATTGGTGTATGGTTTGTTAGGATCGGACAATATTTGAAAATCTGGAATCTGAGGGTGCAAAAAAATCTAAATATTGAGAAAATCATCTTTAAAGTTGTTCAAATGAAGTTCTTAGCAATGCATATTACTAATCAAAAATTAAGTTTTGATATATTTACGGTAGGACATTTACTAAATATCTTCATGGAACATGATCTTTACTTAATATCCTAATGATTTTTGGCATAAAAGAAATCAATAATTTTGACCCATACAATGTACTGTTGGCTATTGCTACAAATATACCCCAGCGACTTAAGACTGCTTTTGTGCTCCAGGGTCACAAATAGTAATTTATTAGACTTTTGTGATCTTTGGTTTTTGCAAACTGCGTTCGAAATCTGAATTCAAGATGATGTAGCAAATTAACCCAATTTTAAGCCTGACATATGAAAAAAATTTTTGAATGGAACAGTTTATTGAACCTTTGAAAAAATCTGAAAATATAGTCTGAAATAGTGAGAACATGGAGGAAAAAACAGCTCAGTTTTATTCAGACTCAAACGGAGCAAAAATATGAATTTGCTGCAGATGCTGATATTTTTATGATGAAATTCTGATGCTTGTAATGTAAATCAAAGATATCTTTATAACAGTACAGCAGATACTTACATAAAATGATACATATATCAGTCATCACTCTATATCTCCAATAATATGTCTCAGTAAGATGAGATTGAAATGATCCAAACATATAATGCAGTGATTGAGAGCTGAAGAAATAAAGGCTCCTCAGAAGATGTGAGATGTTCTGGAGGCTTGTGAAGATCATTCCTCCGCTGAGGAACAGTGTAAGTAAAGCTCCTGGAAACAAACGCTCCTCAAAAGATCCTGAGGATCAGATTTGAGACTCTAAAACATGATTGATGGAGAATCAAGTAAAGCTGAGCTGCTTCAGTCCAGTAAGTGTTCATCTGGAGATATTACTGCAGTTATTCTGACGTAAAAAAAAATAAAAAGCTGAAGCTGGACGTTTGTACAATTACACTGAAAGAGTCTAAACTATCAATCAGACGACAGAAGTATGGATTAGATTGTGTGCAACAGCAAAGTTTCGATCATGTTGATCATTTAGAGGCTCATTTAGTAGCTTTATAGGGTTAAGAACTAAATCCGCCAGCACTTAAAATAAACATTACAATCTTACAACATTACAACAGTCTGCACACCAGTGGACGTGTACCGTATGGAGAGAGTAGCACGTTAGACACTCATCCAGTCGGATCTCATGCATATGTAGTGGTTTTCTCGTGATGATGGATGTTTAAGTGTGTGCATGATATGTTAGACTAACTGCATGAGTTAAAAACATCAGTCTTCCTGTTAATGATTGTGCCGACGAGACGAGAGACTCCAAAAGCCTTTTATCACACGGCAGGCGAATGGTAGTAAAGTGCTGCAGTTTGCTGGGCTCGCTGTGGCCCAGCTGTTGTGTGCCGTTGAAATGGTAGCAGAATGACGGGGCGTGAGAGAGACACCCGTCAGGTAAGTCCTGTGACGCCATCATGTGCGAATATGCGGCTGCTGCAGGGCTTCATTTCATCTTGTGCCTTTTGTTTTCATCATTTAGACTCATTCTGCTTCCCCAGCGGGGGTTTTTTTTCAAAGCCAAGACTCTTTTTGGAAAGTGCGTAGATTCAAACTCACCTTTCAGTGACAACTCACTTTTTTGAGATCAAAATAGGTCACCTGTGAGATTTGCTTGGATTCAATGAGAAAGTGTTTTTATTGGGGGGGGGTCTTACAAGGGTAACTAAAGAACTGGGGCCGGTTGCATAAACTATTTAGACCAGTCTTAAAAAGTTAGTCATCTAATTTTTTTTTTTTCTTCTAGACTGGTCATAACTTTTTTTTAATTCAGTTATGAAAAGGTAGATTGGTCTTATATATGTATTGGAAAAGTAAGACTGATTTTCTCTTGGTTAAACTAGTTCTTAAGACACAAGGTGCATCCCAAATCGCGTACTTATGCACTATTCTGTAACGTTTTGTAGTATAAATAGTGTGAGTAGTGCGTTCACACTAAAAAATTCCAAAAAGAAAAAGTGCACTTAAATCACCGAAAAAATGAAGTGTGGAATTTTGGACACTTCATGCACTCAATTGTCACAGTTTTAAAGGGATAGTTCACCCAAAAATGGAAATGTGATGTTTATCTGCTTACCCCCAGGGCATCCAAGATGTAGGTGACTTTGTTTCTTCAGTAGAACACAAACGGAGATTTTTAACTCAAACCGTTGCAGTCTGTCAGTCATATAATGGAAGTGGATGGAAATCACGACATTTTCATTTTTGGGTGAACTATCCCTTTAATTACGTACCAAAGTGGGAGGGGCTATCAGACTCCGATTATGAATGACAAAATAACCTTATATAATTCATACTATACATGGATGAGTGCATAGTGTATAGTGCGTCATTTGGGACGCAGCTACAGTCTTAACATGGTGGCTAAGTTTATGCAACTGGCCCCTGGTTGTTTCAATAAGTTTTGTATAGTATTTTCTTTACTCTTTACTTTAAAAAGGATGTCTAAAAAGGGTAATATTTGATGTATTTGAGGTCTGAGATGCGGTAACGGTGAAGAGAGAGAGAGAGGGCAAACATTTTGCATTTTAGGTCAGCGTTGCCGTCTAATCAAGCCAATATTGTCTTATAGCCTGCATAGCACTTCATCTTTTATAACATGGGATTTTGACCAAATATATTCAATCTTGATTTTAGTAAAAGATGTTAAACGTTGTGCGGGGTTTTTGTGAAAAATTACAGTTTTGGACATATAAGGTAATAAAAAATATTTTTAAAAATACCTTAAAGTAACAACAAATGAGCATATAAAGCAAATATCTTTAAAAGAAATTCTGTGTGGGGCATGCGCCCAATCTGCGCAATGTTCTCACCTTTTTTCCTCCTTACCTGTTTGCATCTCTGAAAGTGTGTTTATGGGGTCACGATAAAAGTCTCACCATAACTGTGTTTTTTAAGTCAGATGCATGTAGAAATCTACCTTCACATATCGTTTTCAGACCTTTTTGTCTAACAACAAACATGCATGATGTCAAAGTAGATGTTCTAACGAAGCATTTCATAAAGTCTTTGCTTTGCACGATGTTGTTGGATGGTGTTTGTGCTTGATTTGTCATGCATGAAGTGTATTAACTGCTTTGTGTTGTTGTAACACACTGTGGTCATTTTGCTTTGGTCGTCTTTTTCATTTGCACTGCAGACTGGATCTGATCTCAGACGGCGAATAGAGATTCAATTTACAATTGGAAACCGTTTCTATCTAGTAGGCTTAAGCTTTGTAATATTAAAGTGCCTATAAAGAGCATTTACTCCCTATTTTGCACTATTGCAGCACAGAGTCATGATCAAAAACCTGAAAAAGGTCCTTAAACCCTTATGATGCATTCAAATCAGATTTGACCTGAAAAAAATTATTTAAAAAAAAAATGCAGATGCTTTGCAGATACTTTAAGACCTTCAAAATACACATTTATTTTTTTCAGATTTTTACAATTATTTTGTATGAGATATAACCTTTTAAAATAAAAAGTTACACATTTCATGTTCAGGTCATTTTGATGTATGTAGGTGTCAAAAATAGTTTATTTAAAATTATTTATGATGTTATATTAGTGTCAAAAAATATTTGTAAAATATATTTAGCCTTTACCTCATATCTCCAACACTTTTGGGACTGAATTTTGTTGATAAACATGAATATATACCTCTATTGACGAACCATAGGATTGCAGCATGAAAAACTGTTCAATTTTTTTCTTCATCTGGAAGTGAAAGTTTATGTGAGTAAAATTAATTTATTTTGTTTGAAAACAAAGTTTGAGTAATATTTGTCGTTTTGATATTTTGTTAGAAATAAATGTTTCAAAAATTTCGACTGTTTTTGAGCAATTTTAAATTTAAATGAGTTTAAAATTAGTTTTAAATTTAAAAGATTGAAGTAAATTCCATTCTTTGCAATGGGGTTAATACTGGTAATTCTCAGATTATATGTTCTTATACATTTCATACAATGATATATTTACATTTAAATTTCTCATCAATACTGAAAAGAGAAATATATATGCAGTAATAACATGACCACATTCACTGCATTAATGAAAAATTGCTGAACAAATACAATGTGACCTAAAATTGACATGTCAATTTTTTGAAATTGAGATTAATACATCATCTGAAAGCTGATAAATTAGCTTTCCATTGATGTATGGTTTGTTAGGATAGGATAATATTTGAAAATCTGGAATCTGAGGGTGCAAAAAAATCTAAATATTGAGAAAATCATCTTTAGTCAATTTTTTGAAATTGAGATTAATACATCATCGGAAAGCTGATAAATTAGCTTTCCATTGGTGTATGGTTTGTTAGGATCGGACAATATTTGAAAATCTGGAATCTGAGGGTGCAAAAAAATCTAAATATTGAGAAAATCATCTTTAAAGTTGTCCAAATGAAGTTCTTAGCAATGCATATTACTAATCAAAAATTAAGTTTTGATATATTTACGGTAGGACATTTACAAAATATCTTCATGGAACATGATCTTTACTTAATATCCTAATGATTTTTGGCAAAAAGAGAAATCGATAATTTTGACCCATACAATGTATTGTTGGCTATTGCTACAAATATACCCCAGCGACTTAAGACTGCTTTTGTGCCACATATGGTTTTAGTTGGGAAAATATCAATTAACGATTCTTTGAAATGCGAAACCGTACACAGATTTTGAATGCATTATGAGGGTTAAATCGCATCTTGATTCCTGCTGTAATCTCAGTGTGAACAGGCAGAAGTGGCGTGAATGCGGATTTGCACGCGCTTCAGATCCATCCGGTGTGTGGTGGGAAAAGACGAGTCTCCTGTCTTCCTCCTTAGTTGTTTTTGTTCTGAATTTCGCCCCTGTGTCTAGACGGCCGCTAGCCATGCTGCTCTCTGCACTCTGTAGCGTTGTCTTCTGCTGGATGTTGTTTGGCTTCCCTTCCATCCATTACTGTATAGACGGGGTGGGATTGTAAATGCTTTCTCTTAGCCCGTCTCTGGACTGGAACGCTGTAAGTGTCTCCGGATCATCCTTTACAAATATCACAGGCTTCCTGACAACCGTCAATCTGAGATCGTTTGATTTGTTTATGACCATTTCGGTTTGATTTCAGGAAAGATAGGCTCCATTTACAGCATGATGTTGATTACCACAAAAAATAATTGACCCTTAGTTTTCACAATTCCAATTAAAAAAACTTGAAATAGAAGTAAATGTGGCCTTGCACTTTAAGGATTTAAAAGCAGAAATGTCAAGCTCCTGTTTTTATTAAAGCTCTTGAATAATTCTTCAGTTTAATGTATCTGCAGATAGGGTTGCAAAAAGGTGGAAAATTGCCAGTAAATTTCTGAAACATTCCAGAAATTTTGGAAACTTTCCAGGATTTTTTTTGGGGAATATTCCAGGGATTTTTGGAAAGATTCCGGAAATTTACCGGACATTCTTTGCAACCCTATATACAGATGAACTAGTTGGATATTAGCAAATTAATAGCTGTTTTTCAGGTAATCTTACATGCATCATGCAGAATCTACCAGCTGCATTTTATATTATAGTTTTTGTTCATTTTGCTGTTTGTTGCGAGATCCAGTGAGAAGCGTTTGAATTCGCCGCAAAATGAATAAAGGTTGCTGTGAGATTTAGCATTCAAATTCTGCACAGAAGTCTCTGTTATAAACAGATCAGACAGCACTGACGCAGAAAACCAGAATCAGTAACGCTAACTGTAATAATGGTGATGTGGCAGAAATACTCCAATGTTATTACATTATTCATTTCAGGGTTTGTGCAGCCTTTTGAGAGAGAAATTCAAGCAATTTTCAATGACTTACAAGCATTTCACACAACTGTTTCCAGCACTTTAAAGCTCCTAAATGATCCAATTTGAATGTTATTTTCAATGGGATGACCAAACTATACTGTGGTGAACAAACACTTGTGTAAAATAAAAAAATACATCAAATCACCATTATAACCTGTAGATAGCAGCAGAGGAGCACTTTTTGGCTCATTAGTCATTCATTTAAACTTTTTCCTTTATATTTTGAAATTATAAAATCACTATTATAAAATATCAAATCATCAAGAAATCAGATTTTCTCTCTTTTTTTTGTGTATGAAGTAAAAAAACGTCACAGAGTGCTTTGAAAAACAAACTTTTCTTCAATTTGCGACTAAATCACACATAATCACTGAAGTTGTTGGTCAGTTTCATATAAGAATAATGGTACATTTAATAAGAGTACAATATATATATTTTCTAAATGGTGTAAAAATATATTGTTCATTGTTAGTTTAATGCATTAATGTTAACAAATGAGACCTTATTGTGTTACCAAATATTTGCATAAAATGAATGAATATAAATTTATATAACGAGGTTAATGAGTGAGTCCCGCTTTAGTCTGTTAACATGTATAATGTTTGTGTTGTGGCTTTTTACATTTTGTCTTAAAGTAATTAGTGTTTGAGGCAATTATTTCTTGTGGTAATGAACATTATGACTCGCATGCTGCTGTTAATAGATCTTAATGTGTATTAAACCCAGAATATCCTTTAACTTTACAGGAGGAGTGTTACTGTGCTCCTTTGAGATCAGATTCATTTGTGAAACACTTCTAGGGATGTTCATTATAACCGGTTAACCGTTAACCGACCGTAAGAATTTTTGACCGATTAATGGGACTTTAACTGTGTGCGCATGCGGCGCCGGCGCAATCACTTGAATGTTTTCCTTCTAACAGTGGAAGCAACTACTCCTTTTAGTCCTAAAGATAATTGGAATTGTAAAAGGTTTGCTTTTATTTGTGTACGTTCACAATAAAAACAAATCTTTGTGCTTTTGTAAAATAAAATAGCCTAAAGAAAAATTGGATCCCGCTTTCTGCCGTCTTGGTTTCCTTTCGCGCAGCACAAAAATGAACCGAAACTCTGCATACTACTTGTTGAACAATTTTTCTTTCATTTTCTTAATTTATTATTTCAGTAAAAATATATTTCTCGTATAGGCCTATTTATTATTATATTAATATATTTTTATATTATTAGGAAAAATAACCGAAATGAACATCCCTAAACACTTCAGTTTGGAGTTTTTGTAGCTTGATTTGTCAGTCTTTGCTGTCTCTCGGTGCATTAACTGCATTTTGCTCAAGCACTTGTGAATATGTAATATGTATGTCATGCATTGATAATTGTATTTTGCTCTCCTTATCTGTCCTTACTTTATAACACTGCACACAATCCAATCATTAATTCAGATAAACGACAAGCCAAAACGAATTCATTTAGGCTAAAACGAAACTGAAACCAACGTTGGGTCTCTCATTCGACACAAAATCAAATGTTTCAGTATTCGCGATGTATTTGAATGCCAAATTATTTTTTATTATGTACTCTCGTTCCAATATTCACGTAAAACAAAATGTTTTTCGTAACGGTGATAACGCTTAACGGCACAGATTTTACTACATATTTAAACTGAGCAGTGTGTTTTTCCCCATATGTTTGACTGACTGTATTTTATTATGATAATGAACAGGCTGCATTGTCAACGTAGCAAAGCTTAAAGGTCCCCTGAAGTGCCTGAGTGCGTTATTCTATGTGGTGACGTAATTTCAACTGAAACAGGAAGACAGGGCGGGGCATATCGAGCAGCCCCGCCCCCTTTTTAAATTAGTCAATAGCGTTTTGTTTATATTTGCACGGGTCAGAGCCGTTGAGCTCGGTAAAGCCGCATTTGACAGCCACAGTCTAATAGATTACCCCCTAGATTCAATATGAAACTCATCAAATAGTGATCATAATCATGCTGAGGCTGTGTAGTTTTAAAAGTGTTTAATATATGCAGACTCGCGCATATGATCCGCTCCGAGCGATCGCGTCTCTGGACCGGAGCCAAAGTCCGGATCAGACTGTGCGTGCTGCCGCGGTTCGCGTGAAACAACGTGAAACCAGACCTCATTTGCACCAATCGAAAGCATATTTACACTATCTGAATCGTTCCCTAGCGCCTACATTGTACACTATGTGCCACTCACCGTACAGGAAATACTACACTGTGAACAAGTGACCGATCTCAGCCG